GGCTACAACAGGGGTGCCAATAAAAAAATCTTGTGATCCTAGTCCAGTTCATTGTCATTGTTGTTCTGATATGCATGCTGAAGTAGCATGTAATTTGATATGTGCTAGAACTATTTGTGTGTCAATTAACTAGTAGAAATATTGTTGTTGTCATTAACTAGGTCTTGGATTGTTTCAATTGTTGATTTTATTTATGTCTAAGATTATGTGTTTATGACACTCGTAAAAAATTGCTATGATTGTCCCAAACTTAGTCGATTTTTAGAACTCGCAGGTGAGGGTAACTTCAGCTGTTCAGCACAACCAAGAAAACGATCGTAGCAGCTCCACCGAAACGAACAACCAAACAAACTCACATGCACCTTTGGATGCAACAAAAGATGGCCTGCAGCGAACCAAACACGGAATGAGCCCCAGTCAAGCGCAGCTTGGGCCAGCCAACCAAATCTAAGCCTACATCCACGCATCCAGGCTAAGTTGGACCTGCATCTAGCAGCTAGCCAGACCGAGCCTGGCGCAGGCTACCAAACTGTGGAACGAAAGGCATCAACCTCAGCTCCGATGCCCAAAACAAGGCAACTACCGCCACTAAGCAGCCAAGCGCACACAGGGAAAACGTCCAGCAACAAGGATGAGCGCCGAAGTCATGGGTATAATAGGAATTTAGCCGTTGGACTTACAGTAATCCATCACCTACAATCGAAGGACCCAAAATAACCTAGATTATTGTAATATATAATCTAGATTATTACAATCAAATGCATAATCTAGATTCTAATAATCCAGATGGTGATACAAAAGGGCCTAAATATTCATAGCTCATTTGCACCTCATAACAATTACCCAACCACCTGTCCACCTCTATTGGTGGTGCTCAGTGGTGGATCCGAACAACCTCAGCTAATAATTAGCTAGCTAATATTTAGTAGAATTTGCTAGCTAAATGTATACTACGACTAGTGAATCCAAATGTTGCCTTATTATTTGCAATAATATGGTATGTCGTTACTGCTAATTTGCCAGACATATACATGCTGTCAGGAGTGAGGACTAGTAAGTCCAGCAAAGTCGCCAGCTGAAGCGCAATATAACCGCACGCCAAACACCAACCTGCGCATGTACGTGCCGTCCGCCGGCGGAGCGGGGGACGGCGGCGCCGAGACGAAGCTCCCGGTGCTGGTCTACTTCCACGGCGGCGGCTTCATCATCGGCAGCTTCGCCTCGCCGGAGTTCCACACCGTGTGCCTCCGCCTCGCCGCCGAGCTCCCAGCCGTCGTGCTCTCCGCCGACTACCGCCTGGCCCCGGAGCACCGCCTCCCCGCGGCGGTCGAGGACGCGGACACCCTCCTCTCCTGGCTCGGCGGCCAGACCGATCCGTGGCTCGCCGACGCGGCGGACCTGGGCCGCGTGTTCGTGTCGGGCGACTCGGCGGGCGCCAACATGGCGCACCACGCCGCCGCCCGCGCCGGCGCCGCGTCGGGACGGCGCCTACGCCTGGCCGGGTGCGTGCTGCTGTGGCCCTACTTCGGCGGCGAGCGGCGGACGGCGTCCGAGGCGGCCTGCCCTGGCGACGTGTTCCTGACGCTCCCGCTGTACAACCAGATGTGGCGCCTGGCGCTGCCGGCGGGGGCGACGAGGGATCACCCGGCCGCGAACCCGTTCGGGCCGGAGGCGGCAGCGGGCGGTCCGGGCGGCCCCGCCCCCGGCGAGCTCCCGGCGATGCTCGTGGCGGCCGGGGACCGCGACATGCTGATCGACCGCGTCAGGGAGTACGTGGCGCGGGTGCAGGCGGCCGCCGCGGGGAACAATAACAGGCGCGTCGACCTCGTCGAGTTCCCGGGGGCGGGCCACGGGTTCGCCATCTTCGAGCCGGACGGCGAGGCGGCGGGCGAGCTGGTCCGCGTCCTACGGCGGTTCGTGCATGGCGGGGACGGCGCCGCCTCCCCGGCGCCGCGCAGCGTCTGAGCCAGAGCGCGGTGGGGCTCGGTGATGGGGCCGGAGGCCCGGAGTCGTTGGGACTTGGGGGCCGGGCCGGTTTGCTTGTCGGGACGCTTCTCGTCGTTGGCTCGTTGGTTTCAGGATTTCCTCTCACACCGAGGGCCTGTTTAGTCCTAAAAAAAATTTACGCAGAGCCATCATATCGAATCTTGCGGCACATGTATGGAGTATTAAATGTAGACGAAAAAAAACTAATTGCACAGTTGGATGAGAAATCACGAGACGAAACTTTTAAACCTAATTAGTCCATAATTAGACACTAATTACCAAATACAAACGCAGTACTACATTAGCCAAAATCTAAATTTTTTTGCATGCGCCCTAAATCATTATCAGCCAGGTTATTAGTTTAGAAATCAACTAGCGAACGGATCGATAATCTCGTGACGCTGCCACCAAGCGCTTTCACCGCGCCACATGTTTTATTTCTCTTGTGCAAGTGCATGCATGCTGAGAACGCCTCGTTTAGTTCCTTTTCTAAAGTTTGCTTTTTATCTCATCAAATACTTAGACATATTCATGGAGTATTAAATATAAATTAAAAATAACTAATTACATAGTTTGCGACTAATTTACAAGACGAATCTTTTAAGTCTAATTAGTCCATGATTTAATAATGCGGTGCTATAGTAACACATGTGCTAATGCCGGATTAATTAGGCTTAATAAATTCGTCTCGCGGGTTACTGATGGATTCTGTAATTTGTTTTTTATTAATATCGAACACTCTATACGACATCCTTATGTGACGACCGATCTGACACCCTCAAATTTTATATCCTAAATTTAAACAAGGTCTAAGTAATAAATCTGCTGTGATCTGGCTAAAACAATAGCACATACAGCATAGTGTGTTGTCATCCTTTTTTCTTGTTACTCTTTGGGAGGACTAATTTTCAGCACATCACTCGGGGCCTGTTTAGCCGAGCTCTTAGGACATGTTTAACCCACAGACACTGCCGCGCCCTTAAGCTCCGTGGTCGCTGCCGCCGCCTCCTCAACTTCGACGTTTTGGATTTGCACGAGGGGAAGAAGGAAAAGGAAATGGAAGGAGAGAGGGAATTTGGCGCCAACCTTCACGCGTGATGCATTGGATCCACGTCTCGACGAGGAGCAATACGACGCCAGAGCCATCATCGCTTCGAGCATGGGAGCATGAGCGGTCCTCGTTGCTTCGCGAGACGACGAGCTCATCCCACGCAGACAACCCTTGCAGAGCTGCAGACACACGTGTACATGTATTTAGGCTGTGTTTAGTTTGCGAAATGAAAAATTTTGGATGTCACATCGGATGTTTCGGAGATGTCGGAATGAGTTTTCGAATACTAATAAAAAAAAACTAATTACATAGCTCGCTTGAAACTGCGAGACGAATTTATTAAGCCTAATTAATCCATTATTAGCGCATGTTAGTTACTGTAGCACTTATGGCTAATCATGGACTAATTAGTCTTAAAACATTCGTCTCGCGATTTCCAACCAAACTGTGCAATTAGTTTTTTTGTCTATATTTAATACTCTATGTATGTGCCGCAAGATTCGATGTGATAGTTTGAGGTAAAATTTTTTGGAAACTACACTGGGCCTTAACGACCGACAGGGGCGAAGCCACATTGAAGTTACCTAGTGCACAGGCATCAGGGTAATTTTTTTTTTGCCATTCAATGCCTTATTTTCACCATATGTTTCAATAAAGTTGCGTAAGTTAATTAAGCAGTACACCGGGTTCATTTGCCTGTAGCTTGGACCGACTCCGCGCTACAGTATCAGATGAGCCGTAAATTGTGGCTTCTTTCTGCTTCATATTCATTCTACAAGGAGAGAGAGAAACGACTTTAAAAACATTGCTGCTACAGTACTAGTAAAATGTGGTTCAAACTAAAATGTGGTTCAAACTTCAAAGGACATACGGAGCTTGACCACATTAAAGCACACCAGAAAAAGTATTTGCTTCCGGCCAATTTTGACAGCTCGCTATTATCTGCGTTTTTAGCTATTTATTATGAATTGTTATTTTTTATAGGTGGATGATTGGTAATGGACTAGCTGGTTTATTGGCTGAATCCAAACAGAATCCGTCAGCTAGCTGACTATTATCTGTCGCTGAAGAAGCCACTGCAAATAGAACAGAGCAGCAGCCTCGAAGAAAAAACGCACACTTTGTGTGGTTGCTTCGTGGCGTACAGTCATTCAACTCGGTGTACCCCAAGCTTGATTATTGCATACAGGAGAGATTAGCGCCCTGATCGGCTGGGGCTGACTGGCTGGGCTGACTGGCCAGCCCTCATATGGATACTATTTACATGAACCAGCCAGTAGTATTTCTCTCTCATATAAATGAACCAGCAATAATACCAACCAGCAATCCGAACATTGGGAGGAGCAGGCAGCAGTATCTCAGCGTCAGACCAAGGTCTCCAAATCATGCTACTAGCCTGTGGCAGTGTAGCCTAGCAATGGATGGAAGAAGAGTATTGCAGGGGAAAGACTGGTGCCGGACGTACGGACCTGCCCGCCTGCCGGCACGCTACTGCCGCGCCTGTGCGCGCTAATATAGAGCTAATATAATATATAATTTCACGTGTGAACCGGAAATAGCAAACGGTAATGGTGTCATTATAATGCATTATATTTAATTTCTCATACCGTACATGGAGTCTCTGGAAAGTGACTAACGGAGAATGAACGAACAGCCTTGCTGGGAGATTATTCTAGTTTGGACAGTACAGAGACTAGCTCCATCAATTCGTTAGCCTGAAAACCTCAAACTCAGCAAAATGCAGTAACTGGACCCGTGGAGTTAAGTTTTTATGTTATTTTTCTTTGAAAAAAGTAGTATTAATGATAGACACACACTATATCCAAATCAATCTCCATAGCACCTTGATGAGAAGGTCGCCATATCTTATTATTACACACAAAGAATACATACAGGCAAAAGTCTGGTTGCAAGTTGCAACTCGCTACGAGTCTACACACTACCAGACATAGGGCACAAGCGCTTAATTTGATCCTGGACGGGAACTCGTCGAACTTGGAATCGTACCACCTCCTGGTGGCGTATCTCCGGCCAGCGAGGTACGCCTCCGTGCCCACGGCCACGGTGAGCGCGTAGAGCGCGTCTGCGCCATCATGGCGAACCCGAAGAAGGCGAGGATCTCGAAGAGGTAGTGCGGGCAGGTGACGAGCCCGAACAGGGCGCCTGTAGGGATCTTGTACACCTTCTTGTCGTCGCCGTCGCCGCCGCTGTCGGCTCTCAGGCGCGAGAGGAGGTGGTGGTGGTAGAAGTTGCCGGCGAGGCCGACGGCGAAGGCGAGCACGCCGGGGTAGAGCAGGTCCATGGAGGGCTCTGGGAGGCCCCGGCTGAGGTGCTGCACGTAGATCATGGCGCCCCCGTTGAACAGGTAGCAGCCGGCGATTAGCAGGGACGTCGCCAGCGGCATGCTCCCGCTGTACCTGTGGACGAAAAGCACCTGATCGAGATTCGAGATAGAACGTGTCAGGACTATTTCCACGAGAATTAAACCGTTCATAGAGCGGTATAAAGTACACGTGGAATTTGTTTTTTTACGTACCTCGAGGACGCGTTTGAGGAAGTGGACGGCCATGGCGGCGCTGAGGAGGTGCGCATGCACGCCGTGGACGGCGCCCGGCACGGCGAAGGACGCGAGCGCGGCGACGAGCAGCAGCATCCCGAGTCGGCGGCCCGCTGCTGCTGCTGCTGCGTCTCCCGTCCCTGGCCGCCACCGCCGCGGCAGCGCCAGAACTTGGAGTAGGTCAGGTTGTCGCCGCGGAACTCGGAGATGGCCAGGAATGCCATCACGACGGCGCCCGCCGCCGACGCCCCCGCCACCAACGGCGACGGCGCGTACAGGAACAGCGGCGTAGGCCACGTCATCTCTTAGCTCTCGCGCGTGAGATTCTCGAGGAGGAGGAGAGGCAGCGAGGGAGGCCGGCCGGCGCCGGCGGGGATTCTCAGTCAGAGCTGCGTAGGACGGCGGCGTTTTGGATGATCTGATGGAACGCTGGCATAACCGAGGCGCCGGGACGTATTATATAGTGTCCCGCGCCCGGCGCGACGCGGGAAAAGAGCAGAGCAGATCAGCCGCGTCGCGTCCGGTAGCGTGTGAACGCGAGTGCAAGTAGAGAAATGGGATTCGCAGTCGCAGCAGACGAGAGGAAGAAGATCGAGGAGCGACACGGTGTGAAGGCTAGCTTGCAGTTCGGTGCCGTAGCCAACTCTAGTTTTTGCTGACTGAGAATTCATGAAACCGTGCCTGCGCCGACGTGCATGCAGATTGCTCCCGATCGAGTCCTGATCGAGCCGTCGAGAACTGCCCAAAGTGGCGAAGTCATTCACATGCACGATACCGTTGCCCTCTCATTTTCATCTCTTTCCTCTTTCATTCATGGAATGAAAGCAGAGGCGATGATATCCAGGTTCCAGCTGAGACCAATGTTATACAAATACAAATAGAAATGTTTATCGTGCACACAGACAACACGGAGTGGACTGCACAGGGCTGAGGCACAAGCATCAGCTTATATTAATTATTGTTATCTTTTGCGCTCGATCGATCGACGCGGCACGGCGGCAGCAACTAATAATCGTCTTGTTCGTTGGTTGAATTCTGCGCTGATAAGTCCGGTTAGTGCTGGTTTGTTGTGAGAGGAAAACACCATTGACTGACTGATAAGCTCTGGCTGAAACCAACAAGCAAACAAGCTGAATAAATAAAAATTCCAGCACCTGAGACGCATGGCATGTTGTTTTTGTTTTCGAGCGCATGCAACTTGTTGTGGTTCCAGCCGACGATATACTCCGTACTCGAGCAGTGTGAATGAATGTATCCTGGCTTGGATGATCGAGGGACGTATCACGCATGCATGACCACTTTATTCAGGATGCAGCTAATAATTTTTAGTTCTTCATATGGGGGGGACATTATTATTATTACCTAAGCTGATACATCTAAAGATGCTTAATTAGCTTTAAAGTTGTGCACGAACGGCGACGGCGCGTATAGGAACGGCGGCGAAGGCCACATCATCGATCTCTCTTAGGGCATGTTCGGTGCAAGGGAATGACTCTTTGGAAGATTTCCGGCTGAATTACGTAGCTAATATTGTATAAGCTTCATCAGACGGAACGGTTCCTGGGCTTGTTCCAGCACATCCGAACGAGCCCTTAGCTTTTGACTCGTGGAAGAGCGGCCTCTGTGTCTCAAAAGATGACAAGAGAAATTTGTATGGCGTCATTGATCTAGTTTTTTTTGTGGCATTTGTGGAAACAAAGGGACTCCAAGAACCTTCCGACAAGTTGGAAGGCAACCATTGGATAGTGGGTGCCGGGGCACACGACACGATAAAAGAGAGGTGGGGGCCGGGGCACACGACACGAGGTTCCCCAGAGCTACCAGGCGCCCACCGACCATTCCCTAATGCGAACCGATCCAGAGAGAAGGTGCTGCCAGCGACGGGAAGCCGCCACCGACCTCACCGCCGTCTCTACATCGGCACCACCGCACCTACGCTGCCACGACACCGGCGTCCACGTTGCTGCTCGCCATGGACCCAACTGTGCTAGGGCGAGGTACAGGAACAGTTTCCCCGTCTAAGTAAGAATTTTATCCCCTGATCTACGATATTAGAGGTACTACGACCTATCAATGGTACCAGAGCTAGGTTCATCTAATGTGTAGATCCAGATAGGGAGAGTAGCAATTTAGAAGGAGATGAGAAAGATCCAATTTGGATCGAAGGAGAGGGTTCCTAACCCTAACCCTAGAAGGGGAAGAACAACAGAAGAAAGAGGGCTCGATTCAGATTTACCCAGACATGAACCCTAACCCAAACTTGCAATTGGTAAGCGGGGAAGATGAACAGTGGGTTCGGTCAAACCCTAACCAGCCATATCTACGACCGGGGAAGGGGAAAAAGCAAAGAGACAGAGGGTTTGAACCCTAACTCAAACCCTAAGCATCAACCTGAACCTTAATTCCATCGGGGAAGATGAACAGCTAAACCTAACCCTAACCCTAACCTTAATCCGCAATCGGCAAAGAACCGAGAAGAACACAGCAAGATCCAAAGACAGAAGAGAGAAAGGGAAGAGGGGAAGAGGCCTACCTCGGCGCTCCACCGCACTGTAGCCATGTCGGCGCGCGAGAAGTACTCTGAGCCGATGCTCGTCGGGCCTATGCGAGCTTCATGCTAGGGTGCTATGGCCAGGCCGCTCGACGGTGGCGCGCTCACCCGTTGGGGAGCGCGCGCGCCGGCGAGGGTGCCGGCAACGGCTCCATGGTTTCTCTCCGTCACCGACTTCACCGTCGCCTCTGCATCGGCCCCACCGTGTCTATGCTGCCACGACACCGGCGTCCACGTTGCTGTTGCTGTTGCTGCTCGCCATGGACCCAACTGTGCTAGGGCGAGGTACAGGAACAGTTTTCCCATCTAAGTAAGAATTTTATCCCCTGATCTACGATATTAGAGGTACTAGGACCTATCAGTGGGAATCCTTGGATAGTTTCGTCTGCCATCAGGCTGGGGCCCTACAAAAGTTCATGGATGTAGCTACAAGCAATGTTTTTCCTGCTCTTTTATGACCGGAGTTTTTCAGCACGTACAGCTATCTCGGGTTGCTCGGTGCCGTTAGTGGCCCGGCCAATTAGTGGCCCATCGTGAGCTGCTAGGGCCAGACAGAGCAGGAGTGTTTCAACAATAGTGTTTATTTCCCTCCCTTCTGTTTATCGTCATCTGGCCACCAGTCGAGTAGTGTTACAAAATGATTGAGTTGGTAGCATTAGATTGACACAATGGATGCCACGGAGATGCCAAATTAGAATATTAACAGTAACTAGAATGTTTTGGACCTCTCGTGAATCACTCGGGAAGCTCAACATAGGACTTATGGACCTAATGGCAGCTCCAACCGTATTAAAAGAGCTAGCTTATAGAATATTTCATATTTTTAATAAAAAAGAATACAGAATGATAAACTAGCTCTTCGTTAAGAGCTAAGTTCACTTTTTTTTCTATGATTTATGTGTCTATGCTTATACATTTTTTTTTACACTAGCATGTTAATTTACTCTATTTTTTTCTAAAATTGTACGAGTATGAGCTAGCAAGTTGATCCTATTATTATTAAGACTCACTTGAACAAATACATGGACCGTCGGTGTATCTGTTCCCTCGTGCTAATAGTATCCTCTCCGTCTAATAGGCTGCTGATGCGAATGTTAAAGTAAACAGTACTGTCCACTACTGAGGGCCCTCGTGGGGTGGATGTGGATCGGATCGTCGTCTTGCTCCCATCGCGCGCGCATATATATATATATATATATATATATATATATATATATATATATATATATATATATATATATATATATATATATATATATATATATATATATACGCGCTGTTCTACACTTAGATGTAGAATAGCGCCGCGCGCGCGTGTGTATATATATATATATATATCACGCAAATCTCACTCTGGAACGCTGAGAAAGGAAAATGCACGTTTGTGCGAGCATGATTTCGACAAGGAGTGAACATTCAGATTTCGAAGTGGTGGATAAAAGGTGATAAAATCAATCAATCAAGAAAAAAAACAACAAATCCACATCCACCCAAGAATAATCAAACATCATAATCAAGAAAATAAATGACACGAACACGAAAGAAGAAAAGCAAAGCCATTCATTTATTCATGATCCAAGTGGCAACAAACAACCATGATTGGTCCTCCGGCAGGCCAGGTCACCCCTCACCACCCGTCCTACTCCGAGTCCATGTGCTCGACGACGAACCGGCGCACGATGCGGACGAGCTCGTCGGCGCGCTCCGACCACGGGTCCGTCTGGAAGAAGCCGTGGTCGACGCCGGCGATCTCCACGTACTCCACCTCCTTGCCCCACTCCTCCTTCATCCGGCGCGCGTACTGCGCGTTCCGGTCCCTCAGCATGTCGCGCCCGCCGGCGACCACCAGCACGGGCGCCATCTCCACGGCCTCCAGCCCCGGCGCGCGCGGCCCCGCCGGGCTGATCACGGGGTCGTCCCTGGTGGCCCCCTCCGGCAGCGCGAGGCGCGCGTACCTGTCCCACTTCTCGGTGGTGAGGAACGCGTCGCGCGGGCACTCCAGCTCCGCGCGCGTGCGGGCCTCGCCGGCGAAGGCCGGCGCGAGGAGGAGCGAGCCGCGGATCCGGACGGCGGGGGCGAGGCCGGACTTTCCGAGCCCGGCGGCGACGTGGTGCGCGATGTTGCCGCCCGCCGAGTCGCCCGCGACGAAGACGCGCGCGAAGTCGGCCGTGTCGGCGAGCCAGGGCTCGGCGGAGGAGGAGCGCAGCCAGGTCATGGCCCTGGCGCCGTCCTCCTGGGCGGCAGGGAGGCGGTGCTCGGGCGCCAGGCGGTAGTCGAAGGAGAGCACCACGGCGGGGAGCTCGGAGCACAGACGGAGGCACCAGGCGTGGAAGTTGGGCCACCGCGCGGACCCGATGCAGAAGCCGCCGCCGTGGAAGTAGGCCACCACGGGGATCCGCGCGTCGTTGGCCGCGCCCAGGTGCCGCGGCCGGTACAGCCGCGCGTTCAGGTCGTGCTCCAGGTCCCACGTCACGTCCTTCCACTCCACGCCGCAGTCGTCGTCGTCCGGGACGTCCACCAGGAACAGCGCCGCCGGCTCCGCGCTGCGCCGTACCGTGCCGTCGCTCATCAGCTGCAGCACGCCGCGGCAGTCCTCCACCACGCGCGGCTCCGGCGCCAACGACGACATGCCCGGCTTTTTCCTCTTGATACTTCTGGGACAGGCACACACTGGTTTGATGCGTCGCGCGGGGGCAAGCAGTGGGTGGAGAGCCCAAACTTTTTTTTCCCGATCAATCACAATTGCTGGGG